CGTTCTGAGGATCTTCGCGCATCGAGACGCGAATCCAGAGAGACTCGTCGCTCCAGAATTCGCCGTTCCGGAAATCTTTGTTCGGCCAGTCGTCGCTCGGGCTCGCGTGACTTCTGATGTGAGTTCAGAGCGACTCGTCGCTCCAAAACTCGCCTTTCTGGAAGTCTTTGTTCGGCCAGTCGTCGCTCGACCTCGCGTGACTTCTGAGGAACGACCCTTCGTTCGGACGAGCTTCGCGCATCGAGGATAGATCGCTTTTCCAGGGTTCTTCCGCGAGAAATTCGCGATTCCGCGTCTCTTTCCAAACGTCGATCTGCCAACCTGGACCCTTCGCGCGATTTCGCGCTGTCGATCCTTCGTTCTGACGATCTTCGCGCATCGGGACGCGAATCCAGAGAGACTCGTCGCTCCAGAACTCGCCGTTCCGCAACTCTTTCTTCGGACAGTCGTCGCTCGGCCTCGCGTGGTTTCTGCAGAACGACCCTTCGTTCCTCGCGCGATCGGCGATCGTGGTTTCTAGAGTCCCTGATCCTCGCGGTTTCCCGACGATCCACCGAATTACGATCGACCGAACGGGAGGATCGCGCGAATCTTTCTCTTCGTTCCCGACTCGCGATCTCTTCGACGTCGTAACGCGATCGCGCCACTCTATGATTGTCCCTGACTGCCGCGCTTTCACGCGAATCACGTCGGCTCTGCGAGCGATCGAGCCTTTCGCGACGCAAGCCCTCGGACGAAGCTCGCGACGTCGCCCGATCGAGGGATGTACGACCGGCCAGACGATTCTCAACTTCCCGGCGTTCCCCGTGACCTATTTCGCGACGCTCCATGGATCGGATCGACGATCCGCGGTCCTCGGATCGCTCGGTGTTGACTTGAACCGATCTGACTCGTCTGCTGAGAGTCTTGCGATTGAGATCGTTGACACCCGCACGTTCCAGCGAACGAGATAGCGTTCGACGATCGTCGGATCTAATAAGATCACCACGAGAGTCCCTAGCGACCGAAAATCGTGACCTACGTTCTTGATTAGCGGCGCGATCGTGAAGAGCGCGGCGATTTTCCAAAGACCGTTCCCGGTTTCGGCGATCCAGATTGCTGTTGCGATCGGTATCCGTTCGTGCGAATCTCGCCGAACGATTGAGGAGATCCCTGCGATCCTCGCGACGATCCGACCGTTCCGCGTCCCGACGTTCGATTGACACGCGTCGCTCGACAGATCTACGTTCGCGTATCGCGGATCGGTGATTCGGGACACGATTTCGCGACAGGTCTCGGTACTCGCGACGGCTCGCCAGGACGTCGCGCGATTCTCGCCGATCCACTCGTCGTTCCGTCAAGGGGAAACTACGATCGCGATGATCGCTCGTGCGACGCTGAAGATTCAGAGAGTCTCGACGATCGGCGCGACTTTGCCGTTGCGCGATTTCGTTGAGCTCGCGCCGTTCCGTGGATCGCGACCGGCGATCTTCGAGCCGGGAGCTCGCAGGATCGGCCAGACGACGTTGAAAATTTTGCCTGGCAGAACGGTTTTCTCCATTAGATAGATCTCGCGATCGAGAGAGTCGAGTGGCGGGATCGAACGAGCTGTCGCGGGACTGCGGGACTGTCGTTCTAAACCGGGATTCTCGAAAACGATAGACGGATCCGTCGTCGGATACGCGAGTCCTCGATCTTGAAAGCCTCTCGACTGTCCTCGGGTCTCGGTTTTCGGACAGTCGCTCTCTGATGTTCCGCGAACCGCTCCCAGACGCGCGATCGAGACTCAGCGATCGAGAGAGTAGGGATTTTCGAGACGTAGGCGATGCTCTGGATTCGTATACTTTCATTCCGTGATCGTTAATCGGTTTCGTAGCTTCTTCCGGTTCGGCAATCGGGCTTTTCACGAAAGCGTTCAAGTTCGGACATGCGTCCACCCTGGAAACAATGCTTCTTGTAATTCTTGCAATTAGAAAAAGAGATTTACAAGATCAAGAAGGTCCTTTTCGTCTTTAACAAACGGCGCAATTAAATGCGTTTACGTTTCTGACATAGTTTGACACCGCGAAACAATTTTATGACAGCTATGAGTGACATTTCTACACGGAGAGAATTTTCTCTTAAAATTTGTCCTGAAAATTGTGTAATCGTGGGGCAACAGGCGTTTTAAAGAATTTTATGAGCTTTCTTACGTTTTACCATACATTTTACTAATAAACAAAGTCCCACGATTACATGATTTTCAGGATAAATTTTAAGAGAAAATTCCCTCCGTGTACTCAGACAGAGAATAATAAAAAGGGATGTGATAAAAGTTACGGATAATTATTATAAAATGTTTAACAGTTTTAAGAAGAGAAATAATAAGAATTGAGAAGCTCAGAAAGACCGACGCAACGTGTACAATTTAGGAAAAGCGACTTTAAGTCGGGGGAATAAATCAATTTCGTACTCATGGGGCGCTTGATGCGTGAGCTCGGGTCCTGCAAGGCTACCGGCGTGTCCTTCCCTATCCCTGGATACCAGTCCGAGCGTCAGGCATGCCAGCGATACTATCAGTAGCCCGATATACTGCCAGGATCGCACGGGCAGCACCACGTGACGCGTACGCCGCATCCTGCTGTATAAAACAATCGTTATAATTCGCAACGGTCTTGATTAATTGCAGAGCAACTATATCCCCGTTATTTGTAGCGAGTCAACTGAATCGCGTTTGAAAGATTTCAAAGCCGAAGGCAAATGGTACAATGCGTTAATTTCGAAAGCACATCATGATTGGTTTCTTTATAACGTACGTGGCGATGTTCTTCTTTTGTTTCAAAGTATCCCGTCTCGAAATTTAGAGTGAAAGGCGCGCTGGATCTCGTCAACAGACAATGGTAAGTGCCATACCTGAGGAACTAAGGGTTGTCGCGACCAAGCTTTCCGAGGTATTTCGAAAGGGTTGTCAAGGGCTCTTCAGGTCTTCCCGTGAGAAGCGCTTCTCGTCGGTGCTCCGGAAAGCTGCTGACGCCGGGCGTCCCGAGGGAGCGGCTTTTATACTCGCAGGAGTCGTCTCGTAATTCAATAAAAGCGCAATTCGCCGCTTATCAGCGGCGGCCACATGGTGCCCCATACGTCAGCGCAACAAGATCGCCGTGAACAAAGCGCGGGCGCGCAACGTGTGAGCGGAAAGATTGGAAAACCACGACGCGTTCGGTTTAACCAGCCGGAAAATTGCGAATCGGGTCGTCTATCTATGGAACGCGGAGGTCGCGCGTGGGTATCCTTTAAAATTGTATCGAGGATTAATTCCGAAGAATTGGAGTCGTACACCTGGATAAGATCATTAAGCGAAATCCATTTAAATCCTTTAGATCTGATAGTTGAGAGATGTCCAGTATAGGAGGACTTGTAATAAGTTGAATAATTATTTCTATCGGTTTTGAATATCAAATGAGTGAATGAGAAATGTTGCATAAAATTTTAAACCTAAGCTCTTTCATAAATAATGTCAGTATGTAAATCTTTTTTTAGATTTATTTACCGGTTGGTTTTTGAGGACACTTGTAATAAAGTTCAAGATTTTCTAACGGATAAGATTTTGCAATATAGGAGACTCGATGCTGCATATCGACCTAGATACTATACGTAGTTCTATGAATATTCTTCTGGAGTGCAAATATTGTTAATTTCAGAATATTTCAATCGAATATTCTATATATATATATATACCTATATATATAGATTATTACAATTAGAAATCGTATATTCATAACAAAGAAGAACGCTCTTCCCATACAGCACACAAGCTTGCAGCAACGTTGCAGCAACATTGCAACATTGCACATTGCAGTGCAATGTTGTAGCAACATTGTATAGATATTAATTTGCAATATAGTTCAAACAACATTACAGCAATATTTCAAAATATTGTGAAAATAATGTGTTCTATATATTTTGTGTGCGTGTGTGTGTTCTTAGAGTTAGTATACATAATGTTTATTATAATTTGAATCTTTTATAAGATTGAAATTTGTGATTTGTACGAGTAGCGAGATTGTGAGATTATAAATAATTAAGTTTATTTTTCTTTTTAGCTGAAACGGCTTCAGTTTCAGAGTTTATTTTTTTTTAAGAAATGACTCGTCGATTGACTTATTAAAGCTCTTTTGGCGGACTCTGTATATATCACAAAAAAAAAATATATATAGGTATTTAACATAAAACTTTATAAATATATCTATTTCTTATATTTACGAGGGTTGTCCGTAAAATAAGGTCTCCAATTTTTTTTCACAAAGAAAAACACGTTTATTTGCAATGAATTATACATCGTTGGAAAGCCTGGACTTTCTACTATTTTTCTATATAATCCCCGTTGCGATCGATGCATTTTTGCATGCGGTGTAGCACACATTTTTCGTATACCCGTGTCATAGAACTCTCCCGCCGCGGCGCACAGATAGCGTACGACCTCTTCTTTCAACTCCTCGTCGGTCCTGAAATTTGTTCCACCCAGATGTGACTTCAACGCAGGAAAGAGGTGATAATCACTTGGTGCTAGGTCCGGACTGTAGGGGGGTTGTGTGACGTTATCCCATCCAAATTGTTTGATGAGGTCGGTTGTTGCACGGGCGGTGTGGGGACGCGAGCGTTGTCCTGATGGAAACGAACTCCCTTCGTCAGCATGCCCCTTCTTCGGTTTTGAAT